ATATAGTTGTCCTGACAATGGGCGTTGGCTTATATTTTTAGTGGGGGAGTCTTTATAAACAACTTGGCCTCTACCCTTCAGACCGAATTATTTGCCTTGCATCATGCACTGAAATGTGAACAAGTATCCAAACTTGATACATTAATTGTAAGTGACTCTTGATCATCATTAAATTAACAGCTCTCAACTCTTTAAGACATAACTGTAACATGCTCGTGTCTGAAGATAGACACAAATAGTAGTCATCCGTCAATCCCGTGGGGTTATGGAGTTGTGCCCTGGGTGTCTAGTTGTTGTAGTGTAGTTAGATGCAGCGCCTTCTGTGACTGTGAAGGCCAACCCGAGAATGACAGTCTCGACTGCAGCGAGCGCAGAAAAACGCCGAAGCGGGTGCGTCTGACAGTGGTCGAAACCTCCTCTGAAATCTATTATCCTCCGCCTGCCTCTTCAGTTCATCCTCGAATTGCTGGAGTCACTTCTGCACTTTACATCTCCAGGCAGATCTGTCCGCAGCTGCTGCCTCCCAAGTGTTGATGTCACTGTTAATCTGCTTGAGGTCGCGTTTGCAGGCATCTTTGAAACGCAGCTGAGGTCTTCCGGTGGGTCTCCTTCCTGATGCCAGTTCTCCATACCAGAGGTCCTTCGGTATGCGGCCATCGACCATGCGTGTGACATGTCCCAGCCATCGCATGCGTCTCTGTTTCAGGAGAGTGAACATTGAAGGGACTCCTGTTCTCTGGAGTATAGTGTTGTTGGTGACGTGGTCTTTCCACGTAATGTCAAGGATGCGTCTCAGGTTCCGCATGTGAAAGGTGTTAAGCCGTCTCTCCTGGCGAGAGTGCAGGGTCCAGGATTCCGAGCCGAAGAGAAGTGTACTCACCACGCATGCCATGTAGACTTGTGCCTTGGTGTGCACTGTCAGTTTGGCATTTTCCCAAACGGGATTTGTGAGCCAGGCCAGTGTTGTTGCGGCCTTCCCGATACGCCTGTTGAGCTCAGTGTCCAGGGAAAGGGTGTCTGAGATTGTGGAGCCCAGGTACACAAACTCGTGAACTGCCTCCAGCACATAGTCTGCGATGTTTATACAGGGTAGATCATTGACATCTTGTCCCATCACCTGTGTCTTCTTCAGGCTGATTGTCAGGCCGAATGCGGAACAGGCTGTGGCAAAGCGGTTGAGTAGCTGCTGCAGGCCTTCTGCTGTGTGTGTGTGGTGATCGCTGCGTCGTCGGCGAAGAGGAACTTCGCCGAAGAATCCTGAGGATTCGCATCTGTACTTTTGTTTTTGCTCAGAGTCTGGATGAATTATAGAGCTTTCCATCAGGTCTTGTACGGAGATAGATGCCTTCTGTGGTTGTTCCAAAGGCATGCTTGACGAGGATCACGAAGATGATGCCGAACAGGGTTGGAGCAAGAACACACTCCTGTTTAACACCACTGTTAATGTTGAATGGTTCAGAAGTTGAGCCGTCGTACACGGCTGTCCCCTTCATGTCCTTGTGGAACGATTGTATCATGCTGAGTAGGATGGGTGGACAGCCAATTTTGGCCAAGATCTTGAAGAGTCCGTCCCTACTCACGAGGTCGAAGGCCTTTGTAAGGTCAATGAAGGCAATGTACAAGGCTTTTCTCTGCTCGCTGCACTTTTCTTGAAGCTGTCTCAGGGAGAACACCATGTCAGTGGTCGACCTCTCTGCTCGGAAACCACACTGTGACTCGGGGTACACTCTTTCGGCAAGAATCTGAAGCCTGACCAAAACGACCCTAGCGAAGAGTTTGCCAACGACGCTGAGGAGGGATATGCCGTGATAGTTGTTTACATCGCTTCTGTCACCTTTATTTTTGTAGAGAGTGATGATGTTTGCATCTCTCATATCTTGTGGCATCGAGCCCTCCCTCCAGCACTGGCACAGAAGTTCATGAAGCTCAGATTTAAGTGTTCCACGAGCGCACTTGAGAACTTCAGGCGGAATCCCGTCGTCTCCTGGGGCCTTCCCTGAGGAAAGTGAATCCACTGGTTTCTCAACTTCTTCCACAGTTGGTTCAAGATCAAGTTCTTCCATGATGCGCAGGCATTCAATTGCATCCAAAGCCTCTACGCTGACCAAGTTCTCTTTGGAGTAGAGTTCGGAGTAATGTTCCACTCAGCGATTCATCTGTTGATCACGGTCTTTAATGATCTCTCCAGTGGTTGACTTTAGAGGAGCCGTCCGGTTTTGTGTAGGGCCTGTTGCTTGTTTGATCCCTTCATACATGCCTCTTATGGTGCCGACAGTGGCTGTAGTCTGGATGCTGGAACAGAGTCGAAGCCAGTAATCGTTATCGCAGCACCTCGCAGTTTTGTTGAACTCTACTGCGGGCAGTACTGAGGGCCTGTAGATTCCTTTCTAAGGGCAGGTTCTTGTAGGATGAGAGAGCTCGTCTCTTTTCCTCTACGAGGGGTAACAGTTCCTCTGCACTGGCCTCCAACCAATCTGCTGATTTGTTCTGCCTCTTACCGAAGGTGGACATTGCAGTGTTGAAAATAGTGCCCCTGAGATGTAACCACCTCTCACTTGCACTGTCGCAGGGTGGTACAGGAAGGGCATTTACCAGCGCCGCAGTGGATTCCTGCACCTTGTGAAGGTCACGGGTCTTGTTTACGTTAATGCGTGGTCTTCCCTCCTTTGCTCTGTGGATTTTCCGGGGCTGGAACTTTACTCTGCAAACGACGAGAGAGTGGTCGGTGTCGCAATCTGCGCTCTGGAAGCTGCGGGTCAGTTTGACATTTCTCAGTTTGCTACACCCCGTAAGCACCAGGTCGAGTTGGTGCTAATGCTTAGACCTGGGATGTCTCCAGGAAACCTTATGCTGGGGCTTGGTGTCGAAGAAGGAATTGGTGATGCAGAGATCATGACGGCAGCAGATCTCCAGGAGGCGCTGTCCACTCTCATTCATCTTCCCAAATCCAAACTGGCTCAGGCAGGAAGGCCAAGAGCTGTGATCAGAACCAGCTCTTGCATTAAAATCTCCCAGGAGGAAGACTGGCTCTTGTTGAGGTATGTCTCTGAGAGCTAGGCCGAGGTCATCATAGAACTTGTCCTTCGCTTCGGTAGAGGTCAGTGTTGGTGCATTGGCATTGATGAGGCTGACCATTCCTGCTGCTCTATGAAGCTTAAGTTTGATGATCCTTGCAGACCCCTCCATAGGCGGTACTATGGACCTTAACAACCTGTTCCTGAAGGCAAAGCCAACGCCATGCTCCCTTACCTCTTCTGGAGGTTTGCCCTGCCAGAAGAAGGTAAAGTCCTTCTCCCGTATGCTGCCGGTTGCGGGCAGACGTGTCTCCTGCAGGGCGACTATGTCTATCTGGAGCCTGCGCTGTTCATTGTTGATCACAGCTGTCTTGCGTGCGTTGTTCACTTCCAGTAGAACTTCCGAGAGACTCGGTGTCGTGGTTCTTACATTCCATGTGCCCAGTTTGAGAGCTGGGTGGCTCTGTGTTTGTTTTCTTTTGCCTGGTGCATGGGTTGACGATCCGCTTATTGGATTGTGGCCTAAGCCCCACGCACCCAGTGGAGCAGGCGGACCATGGCGGGACAGCACCTTATTGGCTGGGGGCTGCTCCAGCTTGAGGCGGGCGGTAGCTGTCCTATGAAATCGGGTGATTTCTTCCACCGACGGAAGCAACACCTGGCGCCTTACTCCACGCCAATTGAGTGGTAGGCTTATCACCGGTAACTGTCACTTCCCGTGTTGAGCCATCGCCAAGGCGATGCTGGAGTGTCCTCTCCAGGGCACAGGCCTGGGCAGTAATTATGGAGGACCAGCTGTTGCCCATGCAGCAGATCCACCCTCTCCACACCACCGATGTGATCCAAGGGAAGGGCAGGCGCCGATACGCTTGGCACCAGTGTCGTCGCAGGAGTTGCCAGAATGTAGCTGTAAACAGCTGCAAACTGCCTTAGGGACTCCGACTCCGGATTTTTCCTCAGGGTTGACTCCCGAAGTCTTTCCTATGAGTGGGTTTAGCCACAAGACAGCAGAGATTTGAATTCGGGGTTTTCCTTCCCCAAGATGAGCTGCCTTTCCAGGCTAACGAGTCCCATCTGCCCGAAGCAACTGGTTTTATGGCGCCAGAGACCCGCCTTCGCCCCTTCTCCTGTTGGTAGCAGCAGTTCCGCCAGGCCTAGAGGCTAAGCCACACGTGCAGGCCAGGAGCTGGACTTGGTTGTCAGAGGCTATTTCAGACGCACGCTATCAGGGGCACTTTACAGGCTGTGGGAGCTTATCTCTACAACCCTTTCCCCCGGCTATAACAACCCTTGGAACCTGGAACACAAAATACACAAAACCCTTTGAACACAAATACAACAAATCTATTAATGATGGTAACAGAATCCCTTTCATGTGGACTCCATCTCATGTTGGCCTCCAAATGTATGATTGAGCTGATGAGTTAGCCAAAGAATCTGCCTTTAAAGGAGGAATTGAGTGTAACCTTGGATTGCCAGTAAGCAGTCTGGGAGCAATAGTTCATCAAGAACTTAAACAAAATCTTGTAGATCTGAGGTAAAGTGAAATCGACACCAGCAACTCCATATATCATCATACTATCATGCAAGAGGAGCAACACATTTATGGATCATCCAACAAATTCAGCAGACTTCTAGATTTACTACTGTTCGGCTTAAACTGTGTTACAACTCTCTCTGGGATTTCTAATTATCTGCTGATGTAGACCTGACCAAATGTAAACTGTATCAAAAAGCACATCCTCCATCACTATGTGATGGAGGATGCGCACCCCATCACTATGTGATGGGGTGCGAAAGATACATGAATTCAGAGACAATTTTATAATAAATGTTCGAGAGATGTTTATATATTTCATTCAAAATGATGTGCTACCAGAAATCTTACCCAAATCTCCCCTATTTCCTAACTAAGATAAGTAAATTGTCTCACCAATTATATATACAAGGGAATGATTAAGGGTCGAGGGACGATCGAGGAAGGAAATGCGCAGTGCTGCCCTCACCTGTGACGTCACAGCATCATCCGCCGCCAGTATCAACAGAGCGGCCATTTTGTCGTCAGTGCAGTCAGCGGGCGGACAAAAGCTTCATGCAATCATGCAAATATTATCGTAAGTAAACACTTATATTTTATTATATTATTAGATTTTAGTGCTGGCTAGTGCTGGTGTATGGAGGGGGGTGAGGGGCGAGTGCTGGTGTATGGAGGGGGGTGAGGGGCGAGTGCTGGTGTATAGGGAGGTGAGGGGCATGTGCTGGTGTATGGAGAGGCGAGGGGCAGTGCTGATGTATGGAAAGGCGAGGGGCAAGTGCTGGTGTAGGGGGAGGCGAGGGGCATTGCTGGTGTAGGGGGAGGCAAGGGGCAAGTGCTGGTGTATGGGAAGGCGAGCGGCAAGTGCTGGTGTATGGGCAGGCAAGGGGCAGTGCTGGTGTATGGGCAGGCGAGGGGCAAGTGTCGGAAAACCCGACACCATTTAATAATATTACATTCAACAGGCAGATATTGCTGCTGCCGTTGTATAAACAAGTTAACCCATAGAAAATGTAGCCTGTAGTGGAATTTTTCATCTATAGAAAACGGGATATCATTGCCACATACTATTATAAACTCACCACTTATTGTGTTTGGAATTATTCTTAAATACATTAGTCTTTGGAATTTTACCATCATAAAAACATCTCATTTGAATTACCTTAATTATCAGTATCAAAATAAAGTAAATGTGACCCTTCTATCAGTTACGGACATCTCTACAAAGTGAGGGAGGCGTCAGTGGTGAGGAAGGAGAGGTCAGCCATTGTTGTTAGACTAGAGTCGTGGAGTAAACAGCTCCTATAAATTCTCTTGGACGAGGTGTTGTGGAGACCAAAGTTCTGTCATCATCAACACGCTGTCAACAAACACAAGGAAGGTGTCTTACCGAAACCGTTTATCGAATCATTTTTGGCCATTAAAGTCTTATTCATTTCCCAATTACTGTTCCCTTTCATCGAATTATACTTCAGTCAAGACATCCCTTACACGTTGTTTATGAAGTGTAAGTCAGCCCATCCACCTATTTAGGAAGTACTTATAGTAACAATGAGGACCATTGTACATATACCGACGTACAATACAACTAGGAAGTAGAAATCTGTACCACTGAATTTGGACAAACCGGAAAAGGTTTGGTATTTATGCTGCAAAGACAACCTAAACTCATCTAACCTAACCTTCCTTGGCCCAACACACGCTATCTGAGGCCTAATATAGTACATATGTGTGCTATACTAGGCCTAGGAATATTTAAGTTGTTTTTTTAGCTTTATTTTTCGGACTCTATGAAATTAATAGTTCGAAATTCTACTAATTGCTTAGTACATCAATTTTGTACTATGGTGCACATAGTTACAAAATGTACTATCTAAACAGGAGGATGGGTTGTGTATATTATGGTGTTTTTTACGTTCTCATGAAGAGGTTTGTATTTCTTGGGATTAGCTTCGTCATCTTCCTGTTTACAAGTTCAAATGACTTGTCAGTCATAATAAATGCGGGTAATAACACTTCATTCACTAGGGCCCTAGGAGCCTCGAACCTCTGTCCTCCAGAGCACTCCTTATGATCACGCTATCAAACCGTAGCGTGTTTGATAGAGCTTCCGTTTCCCGCTCAGTGGGTCAGAGGTTCATAGCTTCTAGGGGCCCCGAGTGAATAAAACGTTGATGTGAGTTTATACCCATTCCATAGTTCAGAGTTCAAAACTGAGCCGCATATTCTAAATGGGCCGAATCAAGAGCAAGTTAAAACTAACGTTAGGATTTCACGTATTTTACTGCTGACGTTTCTAGTAATAAATCTGAATAATCTTTTAGCCTTAATTATTTATATATCCATTCTTTGTCTTAAAATAGCTAATATGTCTCTGAGATCTCTCTCATTTATGCCTGGGGATTTCAACATCCTCCAGCTGATGTCCAGAACTGTATTATTTTTACCTATACTGAGAACTACATATGCCTCAGTATTTAACTGCATATGCCAGACTTGCGTCCATTTTGAAAGCCTGTCTAGATCACCTAGATTTTCATAGATTTAGATTTAGCCTAGTCTAGTCTATAATTTTTAGTCTACATTTCCCGCCCTATTTTTTAATCATCTGCAGATTTGCACATGTTCGTGTTAAATCCTGTGTCTAAACTGCTTCTATGTACGGTAAACATGACCACGAACAGAGCACTGGACCACTTACAACAGTCTCTCACTCACATTTAACTCCATTGATGATAACTCTGATTTTTTTTAAATGTGAAGTTGTAGTACAGCTTCAGATGACCTCCTCACCCCTCACCCCACAATTCCAGGAACTTATAACTTTTAATGAGCGTCTTTCTAAGGCACAGTAACAAAGGCTTTGATAATTCAACGAATTTAGCAATCCTTCTCCTGCATGAATTATATTCAACCTGTTGAACTTAATTTATTTACGTGGGGCTGTAAGTAGAACAATGTTGCAGGTCAATAATTACTCAATGTCAGCAACACTACACACTACGGTAATATTCATTTATTATATATTGATTTATATAGTGATGTTTAAAGAAAATATTTATTAAATATTAAATATTGATTTAAATAATAATTATGGTTTTTATTAAATATTCATTGATTTTTTTTATTTTAAATTGAGTTTTAAATAAAATCTAAATAAATTAATATTGATTTTTAAATAAAGTATGAATAAAATAATATTGATTTTTAAATAAAATAAAATAAATATTGATTTTATATATAGATATTGCTAAACAATACTGATTTATTAAATACAAGCTGTTCCCGGCCACGCATTGCTGTGGCATAGCAATGCATGTGCGTTGCTGAGCCACAGCAACCTTCCCCTGTCACTCAGCCCTCCCCATCATTTTCCCCTCCTCCGTCCCCTCGTCCTCCCAACCATTTCCGCTTTCCCTTTCACCTCTTCCTGCACACCCCTCGTTCTTCCCACCATCCCCCTCACTCCCGTTCCCTCGTCCTCCCCACCACTCCCCACTACCTCGTTCGATGCAATTCCCAAATGATTTGATGTTCCCCATCATTGAAATATAAGAGAAACAGTTAAAAAAGGAAATGAAAAACAATGACAAAATAAAAAAAATAAACTATGCTGAATGAACGAAATGAACGGTATGGTAAACAACGCAGCTCAATTCCAAGGCAATGTCACACAAAATAATTAAATCAAAATGAAAATAAATCAAAATCTATGAAAATTCTATTTGTTAATGCAATCAGAAACATTGAAATAGAATTAAAACATATTTAACATAGCGTGTGTTGCTCCTATGTGCAACAGATGGCGCTGTTTCTTAAAAAACGAATGTTTCTAAATGTCACAGGTGTGGCATCTGCACTTATACTTGCGAAATGAACGGTGTGGTAAACAACACAGCTCAGTTCCAATGCAGTGTCGCAAAAAATAATTAAATTAAAATGAAAATAAATTGAAATCTTTGAAAATTTAATTTATGAATGCAATCGGAAACATTGAAATGGAATCATAACATATTTAGCATAGCGTGTGTTGCTATTACGTCCAACAGATGGTGTTGCTTTTCAAAAAAGCATGTTTTTTTTTTGGCGCAGGTGAGGCATGAATAAAGTAGGTATATAAAAACGCGCCTATTCAAATGCAACATTGTGTCGAAATTTCAAAGCAATCGGTAAAGAGATTTCGAAGATTTCCCTCACATGAAAAACAAGTATAAAAAAAAAATGTTTTTTCCTGTCACAGACGTAACATCTATATAGTATGAATATAAAAACTCGCTCAGATGCGAATGAAACGTTATGTGAAAATTTCAAAGCAATCTGTGAAAAACCTTCGGAGATTAGCGCTTTTTAAACAAACGAACATTTACATTTTTATCTATATAGATTCAATACAGGGGCTCACAAAGACTCTCATCACATTCTTTAAACACCCTGGTAAGCACCTCGCCTGGCCCTGTGAGCTTATCTGTTTTTTAATTTTTTATTTGTGTAACAACATTCTCCCTGATAACGATTAAAGCAGTTATCATGTTCTCTCGATCACCTACATTGGTGTGTTCAGCTGCCGCATAATGTCAAGTTATTCTGTAGTGAACTGTTTTGGTTAAATAAAGGTACTGCGGTTATCCCCAGCTGATGGACTGCCAGCGTAAGACAAAAAAAATGCATTTAACTAAATGTGATTAAGGAAAACAGGAATAAAGTAAAAAAAACTGAGGTTAAAACAGAGGTTCATGAAATAAAACCAACAAAAGTAACTAACTCCTGCAATAGAACTGGCTTTTAAATGTAATATAAAATTACATTTGAAATCAAATAAAATGAGAAAATCAGTAGGAGCCATAAGGAGGATTCGAACCCACTCACGTAGTACTCCCAAGGAAGGGTGCTAGACCACTATGCCACAACACGGTAAAAAAAAAAGTGCACCCTGGGTTCCACTGAATCCTCTAGGACTCCTGAAGCTAAGAACTGAAGCCGAAAAATGATTTTAAGCATGGCCCTCCCATGTACTTTGGCTAATGTAAGGTTGTAAGCCTCAGGAGTCCTAGAGGGTTCAGTGGAATCCCAGGTTTCATTCCTTTGAACATCTCGTGGCGTGGTGGTCTAGCGAACTTGCTTGGGAGTACCAAGTGAGCGGGTTCGAATCCTCCTCAGATCTCTTGCTAATTTTCTCATTGACATATCACATTAATGTGATTTCATTGCGCTTTAAATAAAATATTTACACAAATGACAACTCGGTTGACTCAGACACTAAAATAGCAAAGTAAAAATATAAATATATACAACAAATCAATACTACTCAGACTCTCACTTCTTGCCAACCTGCCGGAGCAGTTTACCATGATCGGTGTCAGTCTTGTGCTGACGAGCGTCCAAAGTTGTCAGACCTGGGAGGCTCGTCTCCACATGCCATCACCTCCCTCGCTCCCTGGAGTGCCGGTGGCGTGACCACAAACTAGTTCACCCGGTGGTTACATAGTGCATCATAGCACAGTAAGTAAATGAAAACCACAAACCAATAAATACATTAATCCACAGAGTAACACACTAGAATATAACATTATGAGACATAATAGGCATAGGATAAGCGTATAAAGACACCTGGATTGACGTTGAGTTAACGTAGAGTTGAGGAAAAACTGCTGGGGGAAGCCAGTATCCAAATGTGGAGAGTCAATTTGTGACAATTTAGATACACAGTAATAATTTGAAACATTTCTCATTTCTTTGTCAGTTGCCTAACCTTATTTAGATTTTAATTACTCTGTCTTCTCTCTAATCTTTGTTTAATATATCTGAAAAGAAACTTTGGTACTTGTCTTTGCCCGACTGTTTTATATATTTCCTTATTTTGCTTTCTTTCCTTATTTCATTTTAACATTTCTATCTAGTTTGAGAAGTTTGTGTTTGTGATTGACTTCCCTCTTCATAATCCTTTTTTATATAGCATTCTTTTCCTACAAGGTTCTTTAGTCTCATGCTTATCTATTTGGAGTCATTGTTATTCAACCTAATTAATTTATAAGGTATACACGTCCCTGTGCTTTACTGAGAATGTCTTAAATCATAATTATCATTTTCCTTGTAAACCACAAGAAGTTCTTGTCACGACCCAACAACTTCCCATCTCTCGTAATTCAATGTGCCCGATCTATCCTTCTAAAGAAACCCTTAAATCCCTCGAAATGCTTTTAGGAAATTTGGCGCCACTAAAAAATTTCTTATACAGAACTATTCCATCAGTTCAATCTAATTTCCTTGCGATCACTGTTCCTAACTCACTCTCTATTCAAATGCTATTTATTTGTGCAAGATCCTCTAGATATTTCAATACATATTTGCTTTGCCTACATTCTGATATTGTTCATGGCCTTTAAAACTCTTATGTTTAGGCGCTTATTATTTTATTCTAGCCAAATAGTTTCAATGTGTGAAATTTGTATCTACTCTGACACATTACTGCTCCTCCTCGTGTAATCTGTTTGTGTGAAGTAATTTGTACCTCTTAATGAGATATTCAGCTAACAGTTCCCCGTTTGCTACATTCCTCCATGTTTGGGCTAGTGCAATATTTGGTGTTTCAGTGAACACATGATCACTTAAATCGTCCATTTTGTTGTGTAATACTACTACTGTTTGTGTAGTACACATTCATAACATAATGCTGATGCCTGTCTCAATCCAGTACACTACTAGCCAATTTTTGTTTTCATTTCGTTTACAAATTGATATTTCCATATTTGTGCCCTGTTTCTAGAGTTCTTGTGTAGCATTCTTTCGTTCATAACTCTAGAGTCTATAAGTTTGAAGTCTTAATAGTTACCCAATCTAAAGAGTCTGCTAAGAACGCCACTTCATCCCTAGATAAGTGCAACCAGAACCTCATGTACATTACGTTCTGGACAATGAGCGAGTCCCAGTTATTGATGAATGGTATTTCACAACTAAAAAATGCTTTTCAAGTTACATTTAATTCCTATTGCACTTCACAACAACTCATCACCAACACAGAACCTCAGCACACCTCAAGGTTCTTGTGAAACCCCTTCCTTTGTCCTGATCATGTTTGGTGCTATCGTGAATATATTATTAATTACTGATTACTATTAATATTGTTGCTAGATAGATAGAGTAGATAGAGCAGTGAGGTTTCTCGAGTCAGTGATGATGGTTGAGTGGCTGCGGATAATCTTGATCGCTGGTTCGAGTCACCTCATTGCTCCAATTTATTTTCTCATTGATCACTTGAGTGTGATTTCTTTATGCATATTGCTACAGCTGTTGGCCTTAAAATTACTGTTGCTATTACTACTACTGTTATGCTCACAGAAATCATCTTAACGTGATGAATAAATCACCAAATCCGTAGGAGCCGTAAGGAGGATTCAAACCAATGCTCTGGGTACTCCCAAGCAAACGCCTTAGACCATATCCTGGTGTAGTGGTCCTAAGGCGTGTGCTTGGGAGTACCCAGCACATAGGTTTGAATCTGCCTCACGGCTCCTACTGATTTACTCCGAATTATTATTGTCATTACTGTGTCTTATGCCGTTACTGTTCTACTGTTACTTAATTGCAGCATAATACTTAAATATAGCAGAGTTATTACTTTGATAGTACTGCTATCATTACTTATACATTGGAAGAGTATTTCGAATACTACAAATCAAAATAAATATTATATATGTTCTAATTAATGTCTAACAAAATCTACATTGGTTCACACTGTTCTATCCCATGCGAAGCCAGAAGTTAACGATATGTATAAGTTGTTAAGAATTTGAAAATAAGTATATAAGTTAATGAACAAGTTAAGAAGTTGTTAACCGCTGATTCACATTCTGTAAAAACATCAACTACTGCCCTACCCTTCCCTTTATCTTTCTTTCTCTTTCTCTTGTTTTCTCTTACGATCCCTTTCTTATTCCTATTATTACACCCTTTATTACCCCTTACCTTCCGTGCCCTTTGTCTTGCTCTTTTCTTCCCGTAACATTTCCATCTCCTCACCTCTCTCTTGCCTATTTATTGCCCTTGCTTCCTTCGTCTCATCACAATCTACTTGATAATGGTCCAAGACGGACCGAAACGTCGTCGTCTCTTCATTTTCTAGTGTGTTGTTTGTTCAACATCTTTCAGCCACGTTATTGTGACTCTTCATCTGTACTGCTCAATCCTTTCCATCTCTGCTCCTGCTTGAAGCAGTATACTACTGACAAATCTCGAGAGAAGGATCCCACGCGATTTGCTGATTTACAATGCTTTAGCATCCGGCTCTCTTCCGAGTGTGTTTGGAGCGAGACGCTCCCTCGTTCTGTGTTTCTAATGGGCACACATTTCTCCGGCTGCTCCCCCGGTACTTGGCGAAGCTCTCCATAATCGGCTTAATTGGTGGTGTTATGAGCGGGGTGATCTGGTCTCATTCAGGCGCAAGATGCTCTCAGTTTATCCCACCTTGTGGGAGTCTGGAGATTATTCTGACGCAAAGGGAATTCTGCTCCCCCTTCCTGTAATCCTGTGACGTAATCTGTCCTGTAAACAGTTTGATAAGGAAATAAACACACACACACACACACACACACACACACACACACACACACACACACACACACACACACACACACACACACACACACACACACACACACACACACACACCCTGGTCCCTAGGACCACGAGTTTCAAGCGCTGTCCACTCAGCCAGCCAGCCGCTGTAAGTGTGTGTATGTGTGGGGGGGGGGGGGACAAAAAAGTAGTTAGTAATAGTTGATTGATTGGCAGTTGAGAGGCGGGCCGAAAGAGTCAGAGCTCAACTCCCGTAAGCACCACTAGGTGAGTACAACTAGGTGAATGCACACACACAGAGACTAGGGTAAGAAAATTCCATAGATCGACAAGTTTCTTCTTCCAGCCCCTTAATGTCGTGGTATGAGGAAAAATGTCTTCTGTATCTTGGCTACGTGTCCGGCCCCTGAAGAGTTAAAAGTGGTGTTTGATCTGTGACAACAATTATTCAGGAAATCAGAGTCAAATAGCAAGATTTGCTCTGAATGCTCATTGTTTCCTTTTCCCAGGCTATGAGTTCCCATATTTGTTTCGTTTTGCAGGAATATTCTAATAAATGTTTTTGCAGGAATAAGCCTCTGGCTGACCCACTAAGTGGTACTATTTTTCCTTTCAGTGTTACTGAGGCGGTATATGAATATTTATGAATAATATGTTCGTATTAGTAAGATTATGTCCTATGTTGTATATATCCACGTTTACACTGCCTTTGAAAATGTCGATAAGAGTCAAGGAAACGCATCTCATAGCAGCTGGCCATAACAATACAATGAACTTTGGAGACGTAGTTTGTCAACTTCCTTATTAACCATTAAAAATCTAACACTAATATGATTGCTATATTTTGCAAGATGCTTTGAGAAACGTGTTCTCATGTTATTTCCAAATAAAACAAATGCTAACACAGCATGGTTTCTTGAAACTGGAACTTTGCATTAAAGAACCTCCCTTCTTCTATACATAAGTTGAAAAACTGTGTTTTCTCTTCAACATTGTTATTTTCACTGTGGTTTCTTGAAGTGAAGATAATTATGTTCAACTGGAAGGCCTTGCAGTTGTGGATATGTTGAACTGGATAAGAAGCATGACTATCTCAATACGATCAGCCATGGCTCGTCAGAGCAGGTTGGCAGAGCAGGTCGTGCATTAAAGCATGTCGGCCCTTAGAGCAGGTCGTGCATTAAAGCAGGTCGGCCCTTAGAGCAGGTCGTGCACTAGAGCAGATCATCAACACACAACACATGTAACTCTCTCATCAGTGCTGCTCACTGACGTTCTCCCTTCACACTCTCATTACTTACCTATTTCCTCTCAATAATATCTGCCTATATAATTGATGTGTCGTAACTACCTCCTCAACATTATCCACTACATCATGTCTCTCTCTCCACCATTGTGTTTCAGTAACTCCAGTAACACTCTCCAGCAGCGTTTCTCCCTCACCCTCCCTCATAACCTCCCGACAAAAGTTCCGGCGCCACCACTAACTCCCTCACCTTCCTCCAACAGTGTGGGAGGTCTACAGTCTGGCCAAGAGTTTGCCCTGGTGGTTCAAGTGTCCAATGAGGAAGGGGTCAGCCCTCCTGTTGTACTCAGTGCCTTCACTCTTAAAGACAATGCCCAGACTGTTATAGGTAAGTCACTCATGGTATTGCCTGTTATATTGAAAAGTTATACTGTATATGAAAGTGTCTTCGTTTTGTTTTGGACACACTTTAGTACAAGTTGTACATGTTTGGAGGGGCAGCAGGGAGATGAAGGGAAGGGAAGGGGGGGGAGTGTACACTGGAGGCCGCAGATAATTGGCATAAATAATGTTTCTGGTTCAATCCGGGTTTAAACAATAATAAATAAAATGACATTTGAGCACACACACACACACACACACACACACACACACACACACACACACACACACACACACACACACACACACACACACACACACACACACACACAGGATGTGTGGGTCTTTAAACTAAACTTTAACTAAAGGGGCCTCGTAGCCTGGTGGATAGCGCGCAGGACTCGTAATTCTGTGGCGCGGGTTCGATTCCCGCACGAGGCAGAAACAAATGGGCAAAGTTTCTTTCACCCTAAGTGCCCCTGTTACCTAGCAGTAAATAGGTACCTGGGAGCTAGTCAGCTGTCACGGGCTGCTTCCTGGGGTGTGTGTGTGTGTGGTGTGGGAAAAAAAAAAAAAAAAAAAAAAAGTAGTTAGTAAACAGTTGATTGACAGTTGAGAGGCGGGCCGAAAGAGCAAAGCTCAACCCCCGCAAAAACACAACTAGTAAACACAACTAGTAAACACACACACACACACACACACACACACACACACACACACACACACACACACACACACACACACACACACACACACACACACACACACACACACACACACACACACACACACACACACACACACACACACACACACACACACACACAAAATACAAGAAGGGTGACAGGGAAGAGGCACTGAACTACAGGCCAGTTTCCTTAACTTGTATACCATGCAAGGTGATGGAGAAGATTGTGAGGAAAAGGCTCGTAGAGCATCTGGAGGGAAACAACTTTGTAACGCACCACCAACATGGGTTAAGGGATGGTAAATCGTGCCTCATAGGTTAAATAGAATTTTATGACCAAGCACCAAAAATTAGGCAGGAAAGAGAAGAGTGGGCCGACTGCATTTTCCTGGACTGCCAGAAAGCCTTTGACACAGTACCCCATAAAAGGCTGTTAAAAAAGTTGGAGCAACAGGCAGGAGTAAAAGGGAAGGTGCTCCAGTGGATAAGGGAGTACTTAAGCAACAGGAAACAGCGAGTAACAGTGAGGGGGAGACATCAGAGTGGCGAGATGTCACCAGCGGAGTCCCACAGGGCTCAGTGCTTGGACCCATCCTGTTTCTAATATATGTAAACGAACTTCCGGAGGGTATAGACTCATTCCTCTCAATGTTTGCTGATGATGCAAAAATTATGAGAAGAATGAAGACGGATGAAGATAGACAGATACTACAGGATGACCTGGATAAACTGGAGGAATGGTCTAGAAAATGGATGCTAAAGTTCAACTCAGGAAAGTGTAAGGTGATGAAATTAGCCGAAGAGAGCAGGAGGCTAAACACAAGGTATCATCTGGGAGGTGAAATCCTACAAGAGTCAAATAGAGAGAAAGATTTGGGGGTTGATATCACACCGAACCTGTCCCCAGAGGCCCACATCAAAAGAATATCATCAGCGGCATACGCTAGACTGGCTAACATAAGAACTGCCTTCAGAAACTTGTGTAAGGAATCTTTCTGAACCCTGTATACCACTTATGTAAGACCAATCCTGGAGTATGCAGCTCCAGCCTGGATTCCATACCTAGTTAAATACAAGACAAAGTTAGAGAAAATTCAGCAGTATGCCACCAGACTGGTCCCGGAACTGAGAGGAATGAGCTACGAGGAAAGGCTAAATGAGCTGAACCTCACATCCCTGGAAAACAGAAGAGTAAGGGGAGACATGATAACCACCTACAAAATTCTCAGGGAAGTTGACATGGTGGACAAAGACAAACTCTTCAGCATGGGTGGAACGCGAACAAGGGGACACAGGTGGAAACTTAGTACCCAGATGAACCACAGAGACGTTAGAAGGAATTTATTCAGTGTCAGAGTAGTTAATAAATGGAATGCACTAGGAAGTGATGTGGTGGAGGCTGACTCCATACACAGTTTCAAATGTAGATATGATAGAGCCCAGTAGGCTCAGGAATCTGTACACCAGTTGATTGACAGTTGAGAGGCGGGACCAAAGAGGCCAAAGCTCAACTCCCGACAGCACAATTAGGAGAGTGCAATTAGGTGAGTACACACACAAAGGGGGGGGGGAAGGAAGAGGAGGAGGCGGAGTGGCCCTACTAATGAGATAGGAATGGAGTTTCAAGGAAATGGTTAACCTGGGCTGCAAGGGATTCAAAGACCATATAACAGACACCATGACAATGGGAGGACCAGGAGTAGTAGTAGCAGTGATATATAACCCTCTACCTAATGACAGAAGACCCAGGCAAGAGTATGACAACAACAACATAGCAGTTAACACTATAATTGAGAGAGCAGCCGCTACTGCCTGTAGAAATAGATCCCATCTACTCATCATGAGGGCCTTCAGTCACGGATGTATAGACTGGGAGAACAAGCAGCCACGTGGTGGTGAGGATACATGGGAGAATCAAACTATTGGAGGTGGCGACAAAAACGTTAATGCTTTTAAGCCAGCATGTCAGGGAACCACAAGGGTTGATTTCTACGACCAGGCAACAAAAATCAGACAAGAAAGAGAGGGGTGGGCAGACTGCATATTTTTGGATTGCCAGAAAGCCTTTGACACAGTACCACACAAGAGGCTAGTGCTAAAACTGGAGATGCAGGCAGGTTTGTAAGGGAAGGAACTCCATTGGATAAGGGAGTACCGAAGCAACAGAAGACAGTAAGTCACAGTGAGGGGTGAGGTCTCAGATTGGCGAAGCATCACTAGTGAATTCCCGCAGGGTTCAGTTCTTGGACTTATACTGTTTCTCATATATGTAAATGATCTCCCTGAGGGTATAGAATCGTTCCTCTCATTACTTGCTGATGATGCAAAAATTATGAGGCGGATTGAAACTGAGGATGAAGGAGGAGGCTACAAGATGACCTAGACAGACTGAATGAATGGTCCAACAAATGGCTACTAAACCAAGTAAATGTAAGGTAAAGAAAGTAGGCGGAGGTAATAGAAGGCCAGAAACATGATACAGAATGGGAGATGAAATCCTTCACGAAATGGACAGAGAAGATCTAGGAGTTGATGTCATGCCAAACCTGTCTCCTGAAGCCCTCATCAAAAGAATAACATCTGAGGCGTATGCGAGGCTGGCTAATATCAGAACAGCGTTAAGAAACCTGTGTAAGGAATCATTCAGAACCTTGTATACTCTATATGTAAGACCAATCTTGGAGTATGCAGCCCCAGCATGGAGCCCGTACCTCGTCAAGCACACGTCGAAGCTGGAAAAAGTGCAGAGGTATGTCACTAGGCTAGTCCCGAAACTAAGAAGCATGAGTTATGAGGAATGGCTGCGTAAACTGCACCTCACGTCGCTGGAAGACAGAAGAGCTCTGGGAGACATGATCACCACATACAAAATTCACAGGGGAATTAACAGAGTAGACAAAGATGGACTATTTAACACGGGTGGTACACGCACAAGGAGAACCAGGTAGAAGCTGAGTACCCAAATGAGCCACAGAGATGTTAGAAAGAATTTTTTCAGTGTTAGAGTAGTTAGTAAATCTAATGCACTAAGAAGTGATGTGGTGGAGGCTGACTCCATACACAGTTTCAAATGTAGATATGATAGAGCTCGAGAAGCTCAGGAATCTGTACACCAGTAGATAGATGGTTAAGTGGTGGGACCAAAGAGCTAAAGCTCAACCATCACAAGAACAACGAGTTGATTACACAACACACACCGAACCAAAACTGCACATCAGGAGGAAAACACCAGTTAAATAACAGGTGATGAAAATTAGAATGAGTGAGGACAGGTACACAGAGAATGACAAAGAGATGTGTGAAGAACTCAACAAGAGATTCCAGGAGGTGTTCGCATTAGAACGAGGTGAAGTCCTTGTGGTAGGACAGGTGGCAGTAAACCAGGCAGCCTTGGAATGGTTCGAATTTACAAGAGATGAGGTCAAGAGACACTTGTTGGACCTGAACGGGAGTAGGGCTATTAGTCCGGGGGGAATCTCGCCATGGGTAATTGAAGAGTGTGCAGAAGCACTTTGCTTGCCACTCTCCACAGTGTATAGTAGGTCACTTTAGACGGGAGACTAACAGAAATATGGAAAACAGCTAATGTAGTACCAATATACAAAAAGAATGAGAGGCAAGAATATTTCTGGATATTCTTGTGGAATATCTCTGGATACAACATTGTAGAATATCTCCGGATACAATACTGAAGAATATTTCCGGGTACAATACTGTAGAATATCTCCGGGAACAATACTGTAGAATATATTCAGATACAATACTGTATCTTGAGATGATTTCGGGGCTTAGCGTCCCGGCGGCCCGGTCCTCAACCAGTCCTCCTGTTTGTTACACATCCCCAGGAAGCAGCCCGTAAGAGCTGTCTAACCCCCAGGTACCTAATTACTGCTCGGTGAACAGATGCATCAGGGTGAAAGAAACTCTGCTTATTTGTTTCCGCCTCCACCGGGAATTGAACCTGGAACTTCAGGACTACGAATCCGAAGCGCTGTCCACTCAGTTGTCAGGCCCCCCTGTAGAATATATCTGGATACAATACTGTAGAATATATCCGCATACAATACTGTAGAATATATCCGCATACAATACTGTAGAATATATCCGCATACAATAGAATATCTTGGGGCAAAATGACACAGTTTAACAAAAAATGTCCACCATGACACGGGCCAAACATGCTTTGCGTCCCGTTCTAGCCAGAAAAGACGTCCAGAACACGGTATATGATTCTCTGCGAGCACTGCTACTGTAGCTACGGTGTACATTCTGCTCTCAGTGGAGTCACGGAGCACTGCTACAGTAGCTACGGTGTACAC